ATTCCTTCACCTCATCAGGCAGAGCAGTGAATTGAACTCAGGTCTCTCACATCCCAGATGAGTGACAGCTCAACAGTCATCAACAGAATCTCCCATCATATCCTGGGTCTGGCCAGAGTAGCAGATCCTATATACAAAACATGAAATGACAGGTAAGAAAACTAGTTTTATCCTTTCTCCATGGTAGGATTCATCATTCTAAGCAGTAGTTATGGGAAATGGCCAGAAGTGCACAAACTCCCTTCCAAAAAAATATGGAGGGAGAGGTACATTTTAGAGATCCATTGCTCTAACAAGAGGAAGACAGAAGCAGAAGATACACTTGCGTCTGAGTGTTTTACTTGTTCCCCAATCAAAGCAAGAGCTATCTGATGTATGGTGAGACCATTTATATACTGTATTTATAAGTGATATAGCTTTGCTTTTGTTTTATTAGACAAAATTGAGAGAAGGCTAGGAGATTCTGCATATGAAAACAGCAGGTAAGAGACAAATATTAAGTCTTAGTAGTTTGTCAAAAAGATGACCAGAAGGCTTTTCAAGGCTATTGGTTTAGTCAAATGAAGCACTGTAGCTTCCTGCTTGCAAAGCCAGCAAGTCATTGGTGGAGTGAGCACTATTTCCTTTCAGAAACTACTGATCAGCCTTGAAATCATTTTCTTAAACCATATGGCTTTATATCAAATACAGTTTTATACCCCTTAACCACACACAGAATACGAAGTTGATATTCTAACCTGTTTGAAGGTTTAGCAATGAAAGAGGATAGCGATCTAAAGTGTTGCCATCTCTCAAGATTTTGTCATGAGACTAGCAATACTTGGTGGGTTTTTGTTTTTTTTATTTAAAGCACCTGTTCTTGGAACCATTTGATTATGCAAGAATCTCTGCTTTCACAAGAAAAAAAATAGTTTCTTGCCCTCATGGCTGGGGAGAAAAGCTTGAAGATATGAATTCTAAAGGCTAAAAAATAAAAAATAAAAGACTTAAACATCTCATGATTTATAAGCAACTCATGATTCGGGGTCCAACTTATTTTTGAATGTTTGCAGCTAGTAAAACTGGAGTGCTCATCCAATTATGCAGAAATAGTCTTTGTAGGGGAAAAATCAGAAAGAAGTCTGAAAACCACCTTGGTCTGCATGTAGGGTCACTTACTAGAGAGATACTCACTCTCCTGGCTGAAACAATGGCCAGGATATAAGGGACTTTAGGGTCAAAATATGGTTAACACTTCTGCCCTCTGTTCAAAGGATGTCTTTGACAGAGCCCAAAATACTCTGTTTAGCTTCTGTTACTCTACTTTGAATGCCCAACAGAAGCGCTGTCCTAAGAAACTGCTTTGAGGAAGCAAGATGTAAGAGGATGCAAAAGTAGGAAATAGAAGAAATTGGGTACATTGTTTCTAACAAACTTGAACTTTCTTGAAATTCCAGCTTATAAATTACAGAAGCTTTACAGGTCATCTGGAATTTCATCTGAAAAGTCAGCCAAAATAGGTTAATCTCCCTGAGAAAGCACTAGGAAAACAACCTCTCCAAACAGTCCTGAGAAGTTGAGTGAAGTCCTTTCAACGTGTTAAAGGAAATCAAGCAGTTCCTTAGAGAATCCATGGCTTAAAAACACTATCAGTATGGATCCCAGGTTATACATGTAGAGATCTGGACTATTCAGAGAAACTTTATGAATGGTCTTTGATCCTCAGGAAAGTCTACATACAGGGTTCTGCCAACATATGTAATATTCAGGAAGACCCTAGTCAAGGTAGAAACAAAGAAATCAGGATGAGTAAAGCCTTTTCCTGACTGACCCTTCTGGCCACTTGGCTACTAAGTCAGACAAATCATGTATAAGCGCACAGGTCTGCCCACCACTGAGTTTCTCTGTCTTGGTTTCATATGAATGTCAACTGTGCAGGGGGATTTTGTGTGTGAGTGAGTGAGAGAGAGAGAGAGAATGAATGTCAACAGGGTAGGGGGAGAGGAATTGTGTGTATGTAGCATGAAAATCTGTATTTTGCTGATGGGATTGCCACAGATAACTCAATTTAAAGGAGACTCCATCTGGCCACTAATGGCTTAAAGACCTTGTGGTTGAACTCCCAATCTTCTACTGCAAAAACCAGTCAATGCACAAGTTTGACCTTAGGACATATGCGGCTGAGACCAAGAGAATTTGTTCCTCCAGAAAATTCTGATGGACTCGAGGTTCGATAACCCTTTCTTGATTCTTCCCCAGAAGTCAGGTATAACATGATTTTCCTATGGACAGTAATAACATTCTACAGAATCTCATGGAGACATTTCTCAAGGGCAAAGATTGCTCAGACAAACTAGAAGTTTTTATGTTCCCCTTTTAATGGTGCTGTAAGCTTCCTGAAATGGCCATTTCCCCAGAACCATGAGAAAGTTCGTTTGAACTCCTGCTCTTAAAGAAGGCTTCTCAGTAAACAGCAGGACACAGGATAAGTCACATGAAGGCTTACCTCTGGGGATTCCTTTCCAATTGCTCCTAATGAAGGGAATAAGTTACTCAGTTTTTCATTGGATTCAGAGCTACACTATGGGAGACTCTCTGTATCTTGAGGATTCCCTTTGAATGAGGTGGAAAAAGTGTTGCTGATAAAAATATTTAGGAATATGGAGATATGTCTTGAGGGGACTGGCTTCTCCTGAGGTGCCTTGGTCAGAAGAGATATGAACTCGACATGATAGAAGCCTTCGATGCACTTAGTGAGAACGAACACATTTGAAAATAGACTAAGCTTTTTCATTCTTCTTGAACTAGGAAGTTTGGCCCACACCCAAAAGAGGAGTTTTTATGATCAGTATAGGACTCTGAAGCTCATCTGTAGATTAGTGGAAATCAGGAAGGTGCTTGTCAGAACAACTTTTAGAGAGGTTTTTTGGGGGGGGGGGGGGGGGGACAGACAGTGGGAAAATTTTCTGAGCAATTTAATGTTTAACAACGCATCTGAATGTTGTATTGTTATGGCCCACATACTTCTCCCAGCTACTGATACTAAAAGGGATCTGCAGAGAATCATGTTACATCATGGACAGCCTTGCAGAAAATCAATCAGCCAACAGATATTAACTCCCCCATGCCCCCTTTCTCCATATTTCCTACAATAATGAAATAAGGAGAGGGTAAAGGAGGAGCAATACAATTAGTTATACATAGACCATCATCATTTTCTAACCTGCTAGCACACAGAAAGATTTGAGAATAAGGAGAAGTGTATTAGCCATGGTATTCCTGGAGTGCTACAGAAAGTCTGGGTGCTGAACATGACTAAAAACGAATGACGCTTGAAGTGAGTCAGTGACTTGGGGGATCAACTGCATTACATTTTTAGAAGGTTTGGAGGTGAGGGGGAGTGCAGGGCTGTTGAGCTCACTGTAGAAATAACAATGCTCTTCCAAATGAGGACAAAACTTTGTTATGCTAAAGTAAGGAAGAGTCTGTTTTAGGAAATGAGGAAGGAGAGTTGGAACACAAATGTCTGTGTAATCTGGTGAAGCTAAAGATGTGCTCTGTAAATGGCCCTCTCAGTTCTAGGTTCAGCTGCTTAGAATCCACTACCTTCCACAATGTTAGGAGAAAAGCTAAATCCTCCAAATCAGACCCATAACTTATTTATTTTGCCCTTTTTCCTTCTCCTCGATTTCTCTCTCATTCTCTTCTCTCTCTGCTTTTGTAAAGGCCACTGCAGAGAAGGGAGGGACAGAGCTGCAACTCCTAGATCACAAGTACAGAGAACGCAAGGATTACTAACAGGGAAATCTGTGTATGAGTGTTTTGTGAGCCCTTTGTGCACCTGAGAATACTGTGGAGAAGGGCCCTGAAAGGTTCTATGGCCATCTCTTAGGAATGAAGGTAAACTGAACCAGCCACCATGGCTACCTGGGAAATACATTGAGGGACAGGTAAATCATCCATTAAGTCTACTAATTTCAAGTTCTTCTGTCTTCCAACAAGTCCTTATGTTGTTTCCAAGCTCCATTTAGGAAAATCTCTCTGAAGGACATGTTTAATGATGAAAAGAGAAGGCATAGAAAATTGGTGAAGAAATATGAAAGAAAAAAATATATATATTCAGGTTCTGCCTCAAATGGCCCCCCCCAAGCCTTTTCCAGCACTGCTACTGAATAGGAGGAGGGGACTGCCACATGTGGCACACCCTTTGATTATCACTCTGAGTCATAATACTTCTACTACTTCTAGCTCTGGGGAAATGCTGCAGAAATCCACCAGGCTAAAGGAGCCCTCCTGCTATCCTTCAATACTTAACCGTTATAAAGGGGAAAGAAGACAGCAAAAAAATCCAGCCAGGAAAGAGTAAGCAGAGGAACTACTGGCTCAGCATATGGAGGCAAAAAAGAAGAAAAATAAAAAAATAAACCCCAACAACCCAAAACAGGATAACAAGCAGAGCTGTTGATGTGCCAGAACAGGTGGTGATGGTATCTAGGATCTATTTATTTATTTTCAAGAAGGATTTTTTTTAACCTCCTCCAACATCAGTAGAAATGGCAGAATACCTGGAAAGAGAGGCCATTTAGTGGATCCTACAATGGAAAGCACTACTTTGTCTACATGAGACTTCATGCACAACTGACATCATAGCTTCTATTCCAAAATATTTAATATTCAACCATTCATTCCTTCTCTATAACCTTTCCAATGAAACAGAGGTGACTCAAAGAACATAGGTGCATATCTGTATCATATATCAGAAATGTCAGCACAAAACCCATGGATGAGAAGTGTTTGTAAGGATTATTTACGCGCGCACACACACACACTTTGGCTATGTATAAAGTTGGCCAAACTATCCCACAACACTAGAGGGAAAACCAAGGTGGATATTTTCAAAAAATTGTCAAGTTAACTTAAATGTCAAAAAGCGGTATGTTGGAGGCATAATTAAGATTGAAACAGAAGAATGGATTTCTGTTATTGTTTCTGTAAACAAAATACAAGATTAAGTTACATACAGTTCCAGAGAGGACATCATGAGGGCAGCAGTTTAGGAGGTGGCTCTTGCACACTCGGTCATCACTGAATTTGATTCGCTGACGGGTAGTATCCCCTGAAATATAGAAATGAAGACACTCCAGGTTAGACAAATGGAGAAGCCAGCCTGCTTTTGCAAGTTTTATGTTCAAAGTGTTAACAATTCCTTTACCCCAAAATGAACAAAGAAACCCTAATGGAAGCTAAAATTTAAAGGATTAAGTACCCTTTAATGAATCCATACCCAAACATTAACTATGTATTAAATTTTTTACATACTATATACTGCTGTTTAAATGTAATTATAAGCTTCCACCTTTCAAGTATTTTAATATACTTTTTATTGAAAAAGCAGTGTATTAGGTAAAAACACTTTGCTAAGATAGCATCAATGCAAGATGCTATATAGGTGTCTGTTCCAGATTTTGTGTAAGCTACCATAATGGATTTGTACTTGGCAGTTAGCATATAACAATCTTACAAACATGTAATACACACTTAGAGCCTCCACTGAACACCATCTGCCATTTCTTCCATTACTTTCTTCTTGGATGCAAAGCACCCCCTTACTTCTGGTGGGGCAGGGTAAATAGAGGGCAAAAGAATGGTTGAAGTGATTAGAAACCTGAAAGAACCAATCATACAAATAGACATTGCCTATATGTAACATTACTTTTACAGAAGCTTGCAACCCCCATGTCATAGACCCCATCTGTTCCATGTTGCTGAGCTGGAAGCATTTTAATTCTATTTTCATAATGGTGTAGCTCCTGCATCACAGCAGAAGCATCAACCAGCTTACCACACAATGAGGTCCAATTGCAAGTTTAAAAAAATCCCATCTGTGAACAAGGTTGGATAGTTCAGTTCCAAATAACCAATTATTGAGGGTTTTTTTATTGCAGGATTTGTTTTCCTTAAAAAGTCATAATGGAACAGCCACTATTCCATTTCTGGAAGTGAGGTCACTCAAAGATTTTTTTTCCTATAGAGATACAGGAGTTATAAAACATCTCAAAATCTCACAGGGTGTCTGTCTACTCATTAAAATACAATAACCTCCTAGCATCACTATTAAATGAAAACCTACTGGTGAATTACTGAAGCAAGGACAGCTGTTGGAGAAAAAGTACAATGAGTTCAGTTTGCAACTTTTTCCCATCCCATTACCAAAGTACTTTAAAGAGGGTGGATAAATTTTGCAGTTATGAATGTAGTCACTTCTCCATTCTAATAAACCTGAAACATCTGAGAATTTTAAATCTATGAAATGGTTCAACAAGCCCAATCCATTTGTTAACTATACAATAAAATGGTAACGTCCTTCATTCTATTATGTAATCTCATTTTAAAATATCACTGCTATGCATAGGAAACTAAAACGTAACATTTTCAGATGGGCTGAACTTCATTCAAGTTGTTAAACAACTGAAAATTTTCAGAACAAGACACACTTAATTTGCCTGTAGGATGCAACACAATCTTAAAACCAGTAATTCACAGGCTAGAACAGCTTCGGAGCAGTTCAACAATAGGTTTTCTAGAGGCTAAGTCTTCAGTTTTAATAGGTTATTTGTAAAACTAAAAATTTAGAATAATCCCTTATTCAATCACGCCTGCTACTGCAGTAAAAGGTTTTTTTTGGGGGTTCATTTTTTTTTAAAAAAACACATAACTGCGTTTGTTCCACATTCATTAACACATCTGAAAAGTTAGTGATAACTCACGGCTCGGCGAATGCGGGGCCTTTCTGACACTCCCTTGCAGATTGAAGTAGGCAGGCAAAGATACATTGAACCTTTATAAATAAAACAAGGGGCCAGATTGTTCAGTTTGTATAGAATAGACTCTGCCAGCAATTTCAACACAGCATCTAGAAATACATGTTGACTGTAAAGATTCTTGTACATAAAAACAAATGAACAAACCAACTAGTGTGTTAAAAAAAAACAAAAAAACAAAAAAACAGCTGATGGCCTACTAGAACTACTGAGAGGTATACTGAGACTGGGGAGTAGCTAAAGGACTTATGTTCCTCAAGCCTACGGAGATAGGAGTGTTTTCAGATATGTTACTAAGCTCCAGAAGGAGCATTCTTTGTACCTTTGCCACAATCAACTGCTGATTGTACAGCAGCAATGTACTCAAGTCTCTCATGCTTTTCTATTTACATAGCATGTGAGATTTAGGAAGAAGGGATGGGACAATACAGAGAAAACAGAGGTAGCTACAAAAATGAATGCATGAGTGACAACAGCTTTAGGAACCTGTTCCACATTAACATTCTAGTCACTATTTATGGATTCTGTATTAGGTCTTCACAAATGTTTCCTGGGTAAGTTAGATCTGCATATAGCAAATGCCTGGGGCTCACTCTGCTGTAAAGGGAGAAACCTTTTGAGAATTATTTTTGTAATGCAATAGCAGATGTTCCTTCCCAGAGTTTTCCAATAACCGAGTGATTTGGGTGTGAATAAGCCAAGGTTCACAAGAGTTCTACTAATCAAAACAAATATTCCTCTTTGTCTGATTGGATTTAATTAAGCAGCCACAGCATTCACTTTAATATTTTACCATATGAAAATAGTCACTAAACAAACCTATGAAATACTTATGAATATAATCTTGTGTTTTCACAAGGGAAAAAAAATCTAAATGCAATTAGTAATAATTTTAAAGTGTTTTAAATTATCCTAACTGATTAAATACAATTAATTAAACCTATCCCTTTGTAAGCAGTAGCCTAACTTTTTGATTGCACCATGCTGCTTTTTTTTTAAACCTTGATTCTATTGTTTTTCACATTTTCTGAGATAAAATAACTCTGTTAAGTAACTTATTTTTTGTAATTAAGGCATATGTATTGAGGCTAAGCCTACTGGAGACCATAACGCCTTAATCTTTTTTAATTACTATTCTAATAAATTAGTTTTTTAAAATATTGACTACTTTTGATATTGGTCAATTGATAGGTCAGATATTGTCAATTATTTTTGGACTAGTCAAATGACCAACCCTATTCTTAACCTTGCCCCTACAGAGTATTCCATGGTTGATCTTCAGGGCTTACACATATTAATAAATTACCGTTTTACATTTTTAATGTGTTACAGCAATCAGCATCTATTATATTATGACCCATTTCAGTGCTCCCAATTGGATTTTATTTGTTATTTGTTTATGTTGATTGACAGTGGATTTATATGGAAACTCAAAAGGATTGATTTAATTCACCTAAAGAAACAGCAGCTTCAGTTTTATTCAAGATATCTGACCCAAACCATATTTCTGTGATGTATTACACTAGGGGTGAGCGGGAGAAGAACTTTAAATGGGAATGAAGCTATTCAGGAAAAAAGCCAATTGTCAAGGATGCTTCTATGCTTAACCATCTCATTTCTTGAGATGCATGCACACAACGCTGCTGTTAGTATTAATACACACATCAGGAGGAGACCAGACCCCAAACAATGGCAATAATAATGCAACAGTCATTTTAGAAAACTGTTTTACTACATTAAATAAAAAAAATGTTGACTAAAAAGCAACAAAAGTCAACAGCTAAGACCAAATTATACTGCTGAACTTTAAAGAAAATTTAAGGGCTAAGAGCACACTTAGTACCTGTAAGCTCTCAAGATTGATCCTCGTAAGAACAAGTCATTTTAAACACCCTCCAAAAATCAAACTTTGCTGTGAACATCCACCATGTTCCTTCAGTTCATGCTTGAAGGAATTTACAGTACATTTTGACTGCTGATTTTGGCAACGAGTTTGTATATTTCAACCATCTTTTGCAATAACTAACTACAGACTAGTTTCATTTCAATCCATCTCTTGTTCACAATATTGTAACATACTATGAACAGCAAGTTATTCCTTCCATTTTAGAACCATATATTCTAGCAGGAATTACCAGTTAGTGCTAAACCTTAAACTCTAATACCAAGGCACAAGTGCAATGCAACCAAACACAATGTGTGTGTGTGTGTGTGTGTGTCTATCTCATAGACCTGGAAGGGACCCCGAAAGGTCATCAAGTCTAGCCCCCTGCCTTCACTAGCAGAACCAAGTACTGATTTTGCCCCAGATCCGTAAGTAGCCCCCTCAAGGATTGAACTCACAACCCTGGGTTTAGCAGGCCAATGCTCAAACCACTGAGCTATCCCTCCCCCCCAATGGCAATGTGTCTTTGCATTTGGAGGGCAGGATCAAGTTCTTAGGGTTTTTTTTCTGTACTACACTATATTTACCAAGACAGATTAGGCTTTTTCCTCATAACTTACACACCAAAAGTTTACATCTGTTTAATACCTACCACACTGTCTTTACCATAATAGAATATATTATTCCTATTAATATAAGTGCAGAATACATCATACTTTACACTGCGGCAATATAAAATTGACAGCTATATGCCACCGTCACGAACAGTTCACTTAAAATTTACTTCTGAACATGCAATGTATCGAGAAGGAACATTATTCCCATGCCCGTCCCAAGAAGCAAGAAGCTACCAATTTATTTTTATACAGATGTTGTTCTAACAGGATCTTCAATCCTAGGTCTCAACTCTGCAGCCTGAGACTGGCAAAGAAAAGTTCTTGAACATTTATGTTTATTTAAAGGGCAACAGCAGCAGGGCTGAGCACAAGTCAGCAGCTCACTCCCCCAATGGCAGATGTATGCCAGTCACTGAGAATGATCACTGCCCTGGGAACCTTCCCATCAGTTCCCAATTATGAAGGAGGTAAACCTCCCAAAAGAAACAAGTCACCTGATGTTAAAAATCTGCATTAAGTGAAATAAAATTAAGCTGCAAAAAGCAAAGATCACGTCAATAAAAAAACCCTCCAAACTCTGAGGAAGCAGTGGGCAGGTGAGAAGAATCCTGTTGGAATTACAGCTTCAGAAAAGAATTGCATGTCCGGAATTATCGCTTCTCTAAAGATGCCATCCAACAAGATTCTCATTCCTGGAGAGTAAAAAGTACACCTCTACCCCGATAACACGCTGTCCTCGGGAGCCAAAAAAAATCTTACCACGTTATATCAAACTTGCTTTGATCCACCGGAGTGCGCAGCCCCGCCTCCCCGAGCACTGCTTCACCGCATTATATCCGAATTCATGTTATATTGGGTCACATTATATAGGGGTAGAGGTGTACATGGGATGTCCCAAAAGAGAGCAAGGCTGCAACACACAACACTAAGTCCAAAACCAATAATGTGACCAGGGAGGTTTATAAAAACAAAATTAAATACACAAGGGAGGGGTTAAATGCCTTCTACTCTCAAACAAAACACAGACAGCATTAAAAAAAAAAGTATAAAAACCTCAAAATCAGCCAACTCAGATATGGGATATCCTAAAATGAAACAAAAAACTTTTCAGGACAGAAGAGTTTGTTATTCCCTACTCTGTAAACAAATTCTGTAGCACAAAGAAACCAAAACGTAATTCCCTCTTGATAGCTGAATCCAAGAAGCAATGTTTTGCGAACAGCTGGAGAAAGAATGATGAAGATGTCTGTGAGCCAAATATCTAAGAGAGGCAGGGGAGACAAACTTGCCTTAGATTCAGTGAGGTTTGACATGACTATCTAGTTCATACCAGCCACGTCACAGCAACACAAAATATATCCAACAACTTTGACATGGTCTTCATAAAAATTATTGAATCAATTCTAAACAAAACATTTCCAAAGTTGTTGGAGTTTGCAAGGACTTTAGTCCCTCTCAAGGAAAATTTACAAGAACGTTTTAATAATCAAATATATGGAAAAGCAATTCCCTAGGATGGTTTGCGTTGAATTGGCAGTTACCAGAATACAATGTGAGAGAGACCCTATGACACTTGTTTTCTCTGGAATTTCAGGGTCCACTGAGGTTGTCACATGTGGAGATGCACCATGGGTACTACAAAGCAACAGCCACAACTGTGTAGCTAGGTACTTATTTGACCCCCTTGTTCAGGGTAGCAACTAAGAACATGGGCTCACTGGCTCTGTCAGGAAGTACTAGATTTCTTGCAGCATCTCTTCCTGATAAGGTGCATGACATATTCTCAGTAGGGTAGGGACAGAGGAGAAGCGATCTGGATAGTTTTCTGAAAACCTGAACTTGTAGCTGCATTGAACAACTCTCAGAATGCATGTGTTCAAGGTGACCATGTGTTTCCAGTTGGCCTTGGAAAGCACCAACTTTCTTGTAGCCCCAAGTGCAAGAGATACCTGAAGCTATAGTGTCAAAGCTGGAACTTTTGTGCATTGAGAGCACTAGCCACAATACAAAACATACCCACCTACACAGAGAACTCTGATTTCTTTACCCCTGGGTTGTGAACAATGGTTTGAAGCTGGTACTAGAGACCTCATGGTAGCCTCACAGAGGATCTGCAGTGATCTGGCTGGTTTGGCAAACATGTCATCAGTGATCCCTTGGAGTTTGAGAATGACTGTCTTCCATAAAATGATCACCAGTTATCACTGGTGGATCTGCAGGTGGCTAATGAGACCAATCCAGGATCCACAGAACTTGTCACAACCGGGACAGACATTTCCCAATGGAAGGGGTAGATCTGGATTGTTGAGTTGGGCTGCAGCGCATTCTTTCCTCCTTTCCTGTTTACCCAATTCCTGTTGTCTCAGTTGGATCTCAAAATACTGGGGTCCTTGCCACAAGGTCCTTTTCCATTTTGGTCAGTCCAGGGCTTGGGTTTCCCAGGAGTTTATGTCAATACTTCATGTTGGCTTTGAGGGTGTCTCTGAAGTGCTTTCTTTGCCCAGCCCTCGTCTGTTGGCCATGGCTCAGTTGTGGGAACATGACTTGCTTTGGGAGCTGATTTTCTGGCATTTGAAGAACATAACCAGACCAATGGAGGTGGTGGTGGATGATCAAAGCTTCAATGCTGGAGGTTTTGGCTTGGGACAGAACATGGACATAGATGTGTCAGTCATCCCACTTGATTCAGAAGATCCTGCAGATGCACCATTGATGGTATCATTCAAGAACCTTGAGGCGTCCACTGTACATGGCTCAAGTTTCAGCACAATACAAGAGAGCTGGGATAAAAACGGCCTGGTACACACAGCAGCTTGGTTTGAACCTTGATGTCACAATCTTTGAAGACATGTTTTCTCAAACATCTGAAAGCTGCACTGGTGCATGGAAGGCGGTGTGGAATTTCCTTGTTAATGTCAACTTTCTGTGACAGATAGCTACCAAGGTAAAAGGAGTGCCTTGACGTTCTCCAGGGTCTCTTCATTGATCTGAATTATGGGAGCAGGATCCTGGTGATGCAGAGCCAGTTGGAGGAATACTTTAATTTTCTTGGTGTTGTGTGAGAGGCCGAGTTGGTTGTAAGCCTCAGATTTTTTTAAGATAGTCTTCCGAGTGGGCGCACAGGGCCCAGTCATCTGCATACTGGAATTCAATGACTGATTTAGTGATAATGTATGTCTTGGATCAGAGGTGATTGAGGCTGAAGAGCTTGCTGTCCATTCTATATTGGATATCAAATCCAAACATATAATGGATCACTGAATCACCAACTCCACCTCAAGAACATGAGCATAGATGGAGTTCGAGACATCTTGACTGAAGTCTGGCATCAGCAATATGTCAGAGAGCTACTGATTTTCTTCTAATACTTCATGAGTTGACTGGAGCTCAGTATCACAGACTTCAAAAAACTGAGGTTTCCAGCATATGGCGGAGACAAGGCTTGTAGGGTACTTGTATTCCAAGGTGATGATATGGGACACTTCAATGACTAGGCTGCTTCACTGAGCTATCACAGAAGTGCTACATTTGGGCCAAAAAGGACTGGCAGACAGACAGACACAAAGTCAAACGACTCAGATGTCTCAGCTAACTTCAAGGAAGAAGCCTCAGATTTACCCTATGAAGCACTCTGGCCCAGACTCATGTCAGATGTACATGAGTTTCTGGAGTTGCCTGGAGGATGCATTAGAGACATTCTTCATGTTTTCTTAGAGCCCAAGGTGACATCTGCCAATATATCTGGCACTCCTTAACATTGTGGTTGACTCTATGCGGAGACAATGCAACCAATATGCTCATTTGTCATTAATAGTCCTGTTGCAAGGATGTGGTATGAAGCTTGTGAGTGGTCTTCCTGGCTCCCTATATGTCCTTCAGAAAAAAAAAAATAACCACCAGGAGATATGAGGCTCAAATGATGCACCAGAGCACTGCAGGGTGCTAAACACAGGCTCCAAATTCCAAGAAAACCACTGGCACTGACACTAAACAACAGGTGCCTAAAATATGAGACACAGGCAAAGCTGCTTCAGAGGTGTGGAAGTGCAGATAGACAAATAGGCAAAGACCATGGGTAAGCATTGATTGAAGTGTTGATACAGCTGGTGCAAAAGACAAAATTTAAGAGACTTGGACCAGAATGGAAGCCAAAGACTTTACTACGAAATATTGTGTGTATTTCCAGGAGTCAGGGGAAAAGAGCTGGTGCAATGACTGGAGAGGTCCTTTGTGGGCCACAGTTCAGGAATTGAACTGAATGCTCCAAAGGCAATAGTTAAACTAAATAGGATGGCATGCACCCAGCACTAGAACTGCTGGCCTATTCGCCCCACCAATGATGTACATATGGACTAAATGTATTCAAGAGCTTAAGAAGTCCTGAGTGTCTCATGCTGAGGTGGTGAGAATCCTAACAGATGTTATGTTTAGAGAAGGTTTTGTTTTCCATTAACAGACAATTCCACATCTTAGTCTGTACTCTGCTTCCACTTAGATTCCAGTTTTTATAAATGCTCATGATCTAAAACTAGACAAGTAACCTATACAACTGTAAAGATTACTTTATTCAAGTCATTTTAATAGTTTCTTCTACATCACTTAACTTTTTTTTAAATCCCTGATTTTCCTCATATAAGCCTCATCAACAGACTACTCAACTTTGACTTTATATCATCATCTGTCAGGTTATTTGCATACAAAATAAATGCCATATCCTGAACTATAGGACTACAACTTGCTATGTCACTTCACCTTAGAAAGAAGTCAGGCTCCATTTGCTCAATACCTTATACTGAGTGTTTACAGGATCACAAGCACGTATGTGAAATGTTGAAAATAATTAAAAACTTAAATTTGTACTTCTTGCAAGTACTAAATGAAGTAATCTCAACAACATGATGTGCAGGATAGGAATGACAGATCAATAAGAAATTGGAAAACAAGTTTCTACCTTGCCTTACTATTGAACTATTTAACATTTAAATAAAATGTTACTGCCTACTAAGTAAATACTAGAGTTCTGTTAGTAAGCAGTAGTAAAGCAAAATGAAAACTGGTCTTAACATCTTGACACTGAGCATACATGGTCACTGCCAATTTTAGTTAAAGGTCTTTATTTTCAAATATATTTCAGTTTAAAAATAGTACAGAGTGCTTACTGTCAGGACAAAGCTACTACCTAACGGTAGTACATGTCTGACACTACTTCTTGTTAAACCCTTTAAAAGAACTGTGTCTATCGAACGTACAAAAAAAAGTCAATTTAATAAGCTCAGGGCTAAGTGTTATCAATCTGAGGGCTCCTCCCACACTCTCCCTTTTATTAGCAAGTTTTGAAGTACTCAAGTTAGAATTGGATGCTGATCCTCTCATCCCAATTACTGTTTTGAGATTGAAAACAGCATATGCAAAGGAAAAAAAGGCATGCAAGTAAATTAACAGATATGTAACAAAACTGTGAGATATGTATTTCCAGCGCTAAAAAAATAAAATATGAAACAGAATTCTCAAAGTTACCATAACATACATACCACTAAATTCAGGAAGAGACTGTTTTACTTAACACTATGCAAAAATGTATTTCCATAATTTACTATGCCAAGAGATATGCTTGATATACCTTCATTTTCCCCCAGGATGTTATATGTATTATAGACATATAACCTCTGCCTTCTCTCTAAATTAGTACTACTTAATCTAAGGGATGGTGTCCCTAGCCTCAGTTTGCTAGAAGCTGGGAAAGGTTCAAAAGGAGCAATAAAATGGGCAACATTTTCAAATTTAAGTACCTAAAGTTAGGCACCTAAATCTGCAGCTTTCATTTACTTCAGCACCTCTGAAAATCAGACCACTTATTTAGTTGCCTATATTTAAAGCATCTTCATTTGTAAATCTTTACGTAGTTGTATTAAATATGACTTAATTTTCCACACCTCCAGAGCAGTTTCACTCTAGGTCATAGCTGTGTTAATTAATCCAGTTTTATGCTACCATCACAGCACTGTTTTTTTAAATTATGGCATACTCTACTACCAATCCACTTTTTTTTTTTTAGACAAACAGCATTAATGAGAAATGCTTAAAAGCTGAGCCCCTATGCAATCATTTCTCAATCAATATACCCTTGACAGAAAGAGTCTGGGAAAACAGGTAAGATTTGCCAATGTGGCCTGAAGGTCAAACTCATGCTCTGTCTGATACATTCTCAACAGTATTGCATATAACATTTAAAATATCTAAACTATGTCTCAATGACAATGCAATGTTGTGTCAGCTTGTTATTAATAAGTTGTTTTAATAAAAGAAAAACTGAATAGCAAGAATGCCAAACGGTAGCACTGGAAAGGTCCTTCTACGGTCTAGTCTATCTCCTGTAGGATCAGCCTGCATACACTAATCTTCCCTTTTACCCATCTTACTTTCTGAACAGCTCTAATGGCGATGCCTCAGCCCCGCTGGAGTAAATTTTATTAACTTTATTCTCACTTTCAAAAGTGATCATCATTCCCGCCTGTTGATTGAAATGATGGTTTGGGTCAGACTTGCCGCGGACAGACTATTATACCTCCCGCCAAGGCTCTGCACCTGACGATTTGAAAAGCTAATTTCTCCTGTCCGAACAAGGCAAACTGCGGTGTCTCAGTACCACGAGCTACGAGGAAGGATTTACAAGTGTTTATCTGTAACTTGGCGGGGGGTGTCCTCTGCTGTGCGCGCGGGGCGGCTCGGAGGGCGGCGTGCTCCCCGGCGGGTCGCGGACTCTGCCGGCCCGGAAGACAGGCCTGCGCCGACCAATAAGACGAAGTTAGGATTTTTCCACCACCTGACCGGGGAGCCCGCGGATGCAGGGCTCGCGCTAGGGCGGGCGGGGCCGCGGGCAATGGGGGTTTCATACAGACTCGCAACCCGGTTCTTGCGGTGGCGGAAGCGGCGTCGCGACTCCGGCGAGCTGCCCCAGGAGCTCGCCGTAGCGCCAGCCCCGTCCGCACCCCTCACACAGAGTGTAACCGCCTCCGACCGGCCCTGTGCGCCGCCGCCGACCTTTAACCCCCTAGCCCCGCCCCGAGTGGCAGGGGGAAGCTGGCGCTCGTCCTGCCAATCATCGCTGCCAGCCTAGCTCGCTCGCTCGCTCTTCCCAGCCGTTGCCCCTGGCTGTGACCGCAGGGGGCAGCAGCCCCGCCCCCCGGCCGGGTGGCACTTACCGTCCCGGGACGTGCCCATGAGCTGGTCCAGCATGGCGCGCATCTGGGCCTGCGCCGACATCCTGAGCGCGCGGGGCCCGGCCGAGCCGGCGGAGTCTGGGTGAGCTCCGCCGACAGCGGCCTACAGCGCTTCGGGCCCGACGCTGCGCTCGCCCCCCTTACGGGTCCGGGCGGAGCCTCTCTCCGCGGCCGGTGAGGGCTACGATGGCGCCTCCGCCTCACGTTCGCGGTTCGGGCCGAAGGGCAAAGCGGGAAACTGCTTCGCGCTGCTCTCGGTCTCGCGACTTCGCTTCCCCCGCGCGCGACCCTTCACGCTTGTTACACACGCGCGCGCCAGCGGTAACGGAAAGCCGCGCAGCGCGCGCGCGCTCTCTCCACTCCCGCCCCTTTCGACGTCAGCGCTATCAGGTTGATCACCCGCTGATTGGGCGAGTAGACATATATCTGTCTGTGACACAAGCGGCTCCGCGTTTCCTGATTGGACTCTAGAACCTTTCGTCTGGCTGGGCTAGCGCGCGTGCTGATTGGACACGAGGCTTTCGTTCTCTTTCTGTGTGACGTCCTCTCTACCCTCCCCCCCCGAGTCGGGCGAACCCAATCGTTGCATTTCCCTTTCGATAAATACTGAAGAACCTCTCCCTTCCCCCCACCCCGTCCAAGACTAGTACAATCCGCGTTCTATCTGAGGAGGGTAGAGGAGCTGCGTGGCTGCGCGGTCCCCGCAATGGCCCGCCCGAGCCGCTCGAACGCGCCTGGTGTAGTCTGAGCTAAACCGACAAAATACTCCATTGGATGGGCAAAATCTCCTCCTGTGTTGTGAATAGCTCTGTGTCAACGGACGATGAAAAGTTATGGTGGACTTTCTTACAGAGTAGTTCAGTAGACCAGAGCCTGGTTGTTGTTTTTGGTTAGCCATCAGGTTTTTTTTGAAAATATTCTTAATATGCAGATTTTTGTTGAATAAGGACTTCAGTGAAAGGAAACACACTTTGTTTGCTAATGAAGGTGTTGAATAAAATATAATCAAACAGTTGCATTTTGATAGCCGGTTAAGGGCACTAATTTCAATCTACAAAATAGATAATTAAACCACTCCTGACATCTAAATACCACATAATGTAATAGAAATGTTTCTTTTCATGTTTTTTAAGCTTTTTCCATGCTTCTAATGTTATTGTATGTTCTGCCATAACTACATTGGCAAGTGACGTATCAAGCCCACAATAATACAAATATTGGAAAAACTCAATTTACTTTCTCTGCTCTTAGGGGCTTCTTGGGTTCTGTAACAATTGGTATCTGAGGCTGCACTGCTATACCAATTATTCGGTGATGTCCCTGCACTGAATATCTCCTCAAGTCTGTTGATGTTATCATATGCCAAAGATGTGGGGATGAAGGGCAGAATGCTGAATGGTATTGCCACACCTGATTCATCCTCATTAACCCGCTTCTGTAGACAAGGGGTTGTGTCCATTTCATTTCATTCAGCTGACTATATGATATACCTGTTGGCTGAGTATCTTAATCAACTCCATGTTGCCTGTGAGGGATGTGACATTATTGACATGAACTGTGACTGTATAAATCATTGTTGCAACCAGGGTCCTATGGTTGCACCAGGTCTTGTACAGAGGAGATCAAGTGGGGTGTCTATGGAAAAGTTGTAGTTTGCTGGTTATGATTATGCTGTCTATATGTGTGTATCATTGTTGTATTTGACGTTATGAATATTGGCTATGTACTTGTATCTCAATGTGTTTGATTCTAAGGCCTTGGCTACACTTGCGAGTTGCAGCGCTGTAAAGCCACCCCCAGCATTGTAACTCACTCCCCGTCCACACTGGGAAAGCATTTGCAGCGCTGTATCTCTGTGGTTGCAGCGCTGCATGTACTCCACGTCCCCGAGAGGAGTAGCGTGTATTGCGCTGCAGCGCTGCGACGCCAGTGTAGCCGCCCAATGCGCTGTGACTGGCCTCCAGAAGTATTCGGCAATATCCCACAATGCCTGTTCTAGCCACTCTGGTTATCAGTTCAAACTCTACTGCCCTGGCCTCAGGTAACCAACCATGTGACCCACCCTTTACATTCCCCGGGAATTTTAAAAATCCCCTTCCTGTTTGCTCAGCCAGGCATGGCATGGAGTGCTATCAGCGAATCTTTCCAAGTGACCATGCCTCCACGCGCCAAGCGAGCCCCAGCATGGAGCAATGGCGAGTTGCTGGACCTCATCAGTGTTTCGGGGAGGAAGCTGTCCAGTCCCAGCTGCACTCCAGCCGTAGGAATTACGATACCTTCGGGAAAGTATCAAAGGACATGATGGAAAGGAGCCATGACCAGGACAACCTGCAGTGCACGATTAAAGTGAAGGAACTGCGGAGTGCCTACCGCAAAGCTTGCGACGCAAACAGCTGCTCGGGTGCTCCCCCTGTGATCTGCCGATTCTACAAAGAGCTGGATGCAATACTTGGGGTTAACCCCACCTCCGCTCCGAGCACCACCATGGACACTTCAGAGCCAGTGGGGGCAGGAGGAGGAAAACAGAAGTGAGGGTGGTGGGCCGGATGGAGACACCCCCAGAACCCCTGGAGCCATGCAGCAAGGAGCTCTTCTCGAGCCAGGAGGATGGTAGCCAGTCACAACAGCTGGTACTTGGTGGAGGACAAACAAAAGAGCAGGTTCCCGGTAAGTGGGTTTTTTTTCGGGAAAGAATTTTTTCGGTGCGGGCTCTTTGGGAGAGGAGCGTTAGGCATGCATGCCTAGATGCGGAATAGTGCATTGATGTGGTTTATCACATCGCGGTAATCGACCTCGGTAATCTCCTTCAATGTCTCATCCAGAACGTGTGCAATGTGCTTGCGCAGGTTTATAGGGAGAGCCACCTTGATCCTTGTCCCAGCCAGGCTAAGGTGTCCACGTCACTGTGCCGCGAGGGGCAGGGGGACCATTGCTGCACACAGGCAAGCTGCATATGGACCAGGGCGGAAGCCGCATTGCAGTAGAAGACCCTCCCTTCCTTCCCAGGTCACCCTCAG